AACACGACGGAGTTTTTGGGCCTCTGTCAAATTATGAGGTATCCACCGGGCGCAAAGTTTCTTTTTTTTTTCAAAGCAAAGAAAAATGAAAAATTTGAAAAAATTGTCCAAAGCAGACCTGGGCACGGGTAAAAAGTGAGTAAATACTTAAATAATAAGGTTTATTATTGTTCTCTAAGTTACTTCCTAAGCAAGCTCATAGTGCCAAAGAACAAGGATCTGTATATACTTTTAATATATAGGATAAAATATGGAAAGACATCATTTACAACATAGTGTAAAAAAATTATATCATAAATTTAGATTTCTTACATTTAGCGCTAATTAGTTGTGATTGGTAGTTTGGGTGCTACTAAATTACAACGAATCCATGCTCTCCTTTTCACATTCACGTACACATCTTTCTTCTTTCTCTTTCTATCAGACCACAAAAGTTCACTGCTAGTTGCAAGCATATGCACTTTAAACTATGTTTTTGGTTGCAAAAGAATTTAGATGCACATGTGTACGTAAGTGTTCTTAGAATAAGTTGAGCATAGTTTTGGCTTGGTTTTGCATTACTTGCAATGTACTCAGCGCTCGGTCTTTCTTTGTTGCTCTAAGATTTTTGTAAGGTGGTTGTTCTATAATGGGGAACATACTTGATTTATATGAGGTAAGTTTTTACGTACGCTAGTCATTTTAAAATCTAGTAATACTATAAATGTTCAATTAGTACTTAAAACTGACTGCTATTTTTAGAACCTTGTAGGTACCAGGTACTTTCAGTGTGTGTGTGTGTGTGTGAAAGTGAACGAATTTTTTTCTTCCTAAGTGTTTTTTTACCTTTTTGTAATAAAACAATCTTTACACGTCTTTAGTAGGATATAAATATATTGTGAAAATAATCATTAAAATAATATATTTGGATATAAAATATTACAACACTTAGGCATTAGTAAAATGATTTTAATAATGTAATAAATATATTTAACTGTATTATGTACCTAATCACAAGAGGAGTTGCTCTCTAGTAATAACACTATTAAATGTTGTGAAAATTTTAATATTGTCACTATGCGACATTAAAAATATACCACTTAAATGCGGCGTGTTTTATTTACTCACTTAATTTTTACACGAATAAATAAATTTAGCAATGTTGAAAGAATATGAATTATCTAGTATCTTACTAAATTAGTGGTTAAAAACGAGAGGTATTAAGTTTAGGGCGCTTGCCCTAATACCCTCTCAGAAATGAGGGGAGGCCTGTGCCCAGCGGTGGGACGTATATAGGCTATAACTTTAACGTTAATTTTAACCTTTCATATAATACATAATACTAAAGTAACGACAGTTAGAGAGCTGTTGTTGCTTCCAATTAAAATATTATTGATAGTGTGCACGGCACAAAAAAGGGCACAAACTTGGAGTGCGGCAAACGGAAATAAAAACAACTAACTATTCCTCGCCCTCTCCATCACATCTTGTTAAAATATTCTTACTCATATTTTTTCTCGCTTTCCTTTAAATAAACCACATATTATGCTCACTTGGTGGTAGGGACTCTTCTAATTTGGTGGCCGTCTGGGTAGGTGCCACATAAGGGTATTTCACCATAGTTGCCACGTCTGGAAGGCTGTTTAAAACAGCAACTTTTTATGATTTTTAGTTGTTATCAGAAAGATGCTGCTGCCTATCTCGTTTCAGGTTCCCTCTGTCGCCTCTTACGACACCCACGACACGTTATGGGCTAGTGGGTATTCTTACACCGCAGCTAAACAGTTAATCAATAAATCAATCTATCATATAGTCTTAATTGTGACCCTAGATATATTAAAACAAGAACAAAATTAACAGAGGCAGTAACATGCCTTAGGGGCCCTGTATCAAAATTTGTCGGGGGGCCCAAATGAAGGGTAAAGATTTTTTCAAAAGGAACAAAAACTCTCGCTTTGAATTAAATTTAATTATACATATATTGATTATAAGTTATTACTTACAATTAATACGCCTAGGAACTAAGCTAGCCATACAATTCAAACCAACATCCTGTCCCATAGAAATCCTTAGAATTTTTGCTTATGCACGTTCAGGGCCTTTGTAGCCCGGGGGCCCCGTATCATTGATAAGGCTGATACGCCGCTAGCTACGCCTCTGAAAATTAAATATATACAGGAGGTAGGGCTCTTAACTATTACTGACGCCAAATAGTGCTTGCATTGCTGTGTTGTGTTTTTGTCTGAAGAGCTGTGAGTTCATTAGTTTCATTAATCCTCATGGGTGATGACGCATCTGTAACCATCTTTGTATGAAGTTGGCTGCAGCTGTCCATGGACTGCAGTTACCACTTACCATCCAGTGAACTGTATGTATGTCACTTTTTTTTTTAAATATGGCGTGCTTAGACCGTGCAAAAAGTACATCACCCTCGTTATCTCTTAGCTGCCGTAAAAGTCAACTGATATTTAAAAGATGTTCAGAAACCAATTCAATAAGTCTGATATGTTAAAACCTACACAGAGCTGCGTCATTGGTGCAAGATTTTATACGTGGTAGAGCCATGCTACAGTTATATTAGTAGTATGTAGTTGTAGCACGAATGGGTCAGCTCGACCGGAGAAGAACCACGCTCTCACAGAATACCAGCGTAAAATAGCAGCTTAACACTGCTGTGTTTCGTATGGTGAGTGTAGAGAAACGGAGACCCTTTTTACTGGAAAAGAGGCATTCCATCTTAGTCCTCACGGGTGACAACGCATCTGCATTTTGATTCTTTATTGAGGATAGATGTGGATGTCTATGGGCCACAGCATCCACTTAACACAGCCAGCACTTACCATCAGGTGGGCTGTGTGCTCGTTTGTCACCCTATTCTATAAAAAAAGATGTCTGGTATTAGCACCTGCGGGACGTATAATAAATATTATAATGTCCTCCTAACTATCGGTAAGGACTGCTGCCAGTCTCAACGGAGACTGCATTTGCATAGAACAAGATTATAGAGCACAAGTTGTGCGCAAGCACAGGTGCACTCTGTTACCTCTCATAGTCATAGTCTGGTAGGATGGTTAACCGACTATACCACGATCGGAGAGATCTGGCGCAGTACCAACTGCTTAACGTACTTTCCCGAGACACGGGGTAAAACACCGCCAACTTCCTGACTCCGGGCTGCCACTGACATTTTTTTTTTGTAAGAAATCCCAATAAATGGTTTTTGGACCGACTTGCGAATTCGAACCCGAGACCTCGTGATCAGCAATGTGGGACGTATATGCACATGATTAGCATGGGCGCTGCCAGGATTACTTTCAGGGAGGTGCAACTGAATCTCCACATTGTACCATTAACTAATCTTTATATATAAAAATTACGTGTCACGTTGTTTGTCCGCGATGGACTCCTAAACTACTGAACTAATTTCAATGAAATTTTGCACACTGTGTGCATTTTGGTCCAATTTGAGAGATAGAATAGTTCTTATCCCGCTAAATGACCCACAATATTTTTTATTGCGGATTTAAGGATTTTTATAGGACAAAGTCGAAGAGGGCAGTGCGACGTCTGCCCGGCCAGGTAGTATAAAATATAGAATTATACATGTATACGTACATATCTGTAATGTCAAATTCAAATCGCGCGAGTATTTGATTGAATATATCTCGCTCATAGAAAACATACTTTTTCATACATCATCTCATCATACATCTTTGTAGTCGATAGTTGGCAATTGGCATTATTGCTCGGAGAATCCCTGCTGCCGCGCGATATTGTTCACAGTGTTCACAGGGAAAGAATAGAACAAGATACTGAACTTATTGACAAGGTGATGGAAAAATTTGTACAGTAACCTAGACACTGTTTTTCTATGCATTTTATGCATAGAAATATGCATTTTCTTTCCTGAGAGGGGGTACAAGTGCACCTCCTTGCACCCTACTGCCGGCGCCCGTGATGATTAGTTATATTACGTTGCGTGACACACGTGCCGTCCAATCATAGACGCACTACTTAGCGATTACGCTGATCTGTTTACTGTTCTGGCAGTAATGCATTGTTTTATGTATACAAAAGTCATCGTTAAAACTGCAGTTACGACCGGAGCTTCTGCTATAGTAAGTGAATAATATGCCACTTCCGAAAACTAAAATGGAATATTGAATAAAACTACTTTTACGGATGTTTTCGCGTATAATTAACTTCTTTTTTATTGATTCCCGACGTTTCGGGTGCTTTACAGCACCCATGGTCACGGGGGACTGAGGTGATTGATGTCCCGATGTCAGAGTTAACCCGGAGTACCTTCAGCTTTTTAAATTATTAATTTTGGTTAGTTAGTTGTAGTGTTCGCGTAAATATAAGAAAGCATTAAGATGAAATACCTCAAGTGGTCTCCAATTCTCCACACTTAGAATACGGAATATAGCTATTTTACAATAATATTTTGTAAGTGACTAGTCCTACTCTGGTTGGGTTGATTCATTAATGCTGCAACTATAATACAGCCGCAGCGTGACTGACTCCACTATATACAAAACAGCTGCTGCTCAGTTCTCACATGCTAGTTAATCCTTTATAAATTAAGGGAGAGGAAAGGAATGCAAAATAGGTAATTGTTAAGGTGCAAGTGCATAGAATATGTGATGTTAGTACTAATAATTTTAATACAAATGTAATGCGAAAGATGTAGGGCGGAAAAGTATAAGTAAATCATAACTTTATAATGTACATAATTAATGCCAGTTCCAGTTATTAAAAAAGGGTCCTGGTTAAATATAAAAGACTATTATGAAAGTACCTATATTTTTTTACGTTAACTAACCTCGGAGGAATTATGTAACTACGGTTGAATTGTTTTTGAAGTCTAAATACAACATGCGACGCACTATATTTATGTACATATAAAATCGATAAAAAAATTTACATTAGTGAATGTTATAATTTCGCATGCGCATTAGAACTCTCATCAGCTGATTTTACTCCACCCTTAGTTGCCGTAAACTATTGCAAAATACATTGTTTATTTTAATATGTTGTATGGTTGTGACATTTAATATTTTAAATTAAATTATAGTAGACTTATATTGTGATTCCTATAAAGTGTTATAAACTCGTCCTTAATAAATAAAGAACAAGGTGTAAAGTTGTATAGCGTATTGTTCAGTAATTATATAAATATGAAGGCGGCGGCAATGTCCGTGTGGATTTTTATAAACCTTCTCTGTTTTGGTATGTGTGGTTATTTGTATTTGATCTGGTCACAATATTGGATGAACATTGAAAGACAGAGGCTGTTCAATAAAACACCAAGCATTCCACAACACAGCAGCGTATCTGAAATAACATTTCAAGAAACTTCTTATTCTGAGAAGTATGACTTTAACTCAGTGTTTAATAATACGATCGTAAAAGAGAAAAATGGCCATATAAACAGGAGGTCAATAGTTGCAATGAAAACTAGCGGAAAACTGTCTCAATCTTCCGGGCAAACCCGTCCATTTACAAATATTGTGCGAAAAAGTCATGGAAGCCCAAGATTTCCGAACATACATAAACCAATATTAGAATTTGATAGTGATAAATACGTATGTAATGACTATTTGACGTCGGAATGTGAGGCGCGGACGGCCGAATTTAAGACACTGTTGTTGAAAGAGTTTCATAGAGTCTTGATGAGCGACAGCAAAGTTTTTACATCGGGATTAAATTCTCAAAACACTTACGACGTGCACTATGAAAGAGGGCAGTGGAAGGAGCGGACAAAAAAAGACATTTTGTGCGCATTAGCTGGTGTTTCCGTTCAAACGGTAACAGCAGAAGATGAACCATTTAAAATGTTGAATTATAATATTCCTAAGGATCCTTTACAATGTCATCGCACATTCAAGACTTGTGCTGTTGTAACTAGTGCAGGCTCCTTACTGGGCTCCCATTTAGGAGATTTTATAGGTAAGCATAACTCCTATTGTTTTCAGCATTTGTTTGTAGTTTCTTAGATATTAAACCCCATATCGGCCCGTGGGTGTTGTAGTAGGCGATAGAGAAAAATGAAACAGATGAAGGGCAGCAGCATCTTCCTGATAACGACTCGAAATAATAAAAAAACTGCGATAACCAAATACCATGGCAAGTATACCCCATATGAGGCAATATACGCGGGAGGCCTATATTCAGCACTGGCCTTTTGATGTGTTGTTAAATTAATAAATGCATAAAAAAATGAATTAGATTTTTAAGTTAATAAATTAAAATAAAAAAAATGTATACAACCGACTTCAATATTAATTATTAAGAATGAATAATCCTTTATATGGGACCACATGTGGAGCACCAGCTTTCAAATAAAAAAGAATAATTTTTATAGTATAGGGTGACAAACGAGCACACAGTCCACCTTATGGTAAGTGGTTGCTGTCGCCCATAGATATCTAGGTACATTTATCCTCGTTTGCGAATCAAAATGCAGATACGTTGCCACCCGTGAAGACTAAGATGGAATGCCTCGTTTCCAGTAAAAATGGTCTACGGTTCTGTACACTTACCATACGAAACACAGCAGTGTTAAGCTGCTATTTGACGCTGGTATTCTGTGAGAGCGTGGTCCTTCCCCGTTCGAGCCGACCCATTCGTGCTACAACTATACTACTAATATAGCTACAGCATGGCTCTACCACGTGTAAAGAATCATCGAAATCGGTTCACCTAGTAAAAAGTTATGAGGTAACACACGTAAAAAAAACATACAGTCTAAATGAGTACCGGCTCCTTTTTGAAGTCTGTAGAAAACAGTTGCAGGCGAGGCATTCCATTTTAGTCCTCGGAGGTGACATCGCACCTGTGACCTTATTTATTTGAAGGTATTTACAGGTTTCCACGGGATGCAGTATCCACTTATCTTCACGTGGGCTGTAAGTTCGTTTGTCACTCAATTTAAAAAAATAACGACTACTGCATTCTATGGGGTGTACTGGCCGTAGATTTTTACATACATTTAAGGGTGACAAACGAACACGTAGTCCATTTGATAGTAAGTACGTAGATGCTTAGCCTATAGATGCCTTAATATATCCTCAATCAAAAGTCAATCAAGAAGTTTTAAACCCCTGAGACGGAACAACTTGTTACTAATTTAAAGGGTCTCTGATTCTCCTTGCTTACTACGGAAATAGATGCATTATGTACAATAGAATATAAAATAAGCAGAACTACACATAGGGTTACAAATATTATATAATTTTTTTATAAACTAGTAAACTAAAGTTGCAATAGGTTAACCCAGTTTATACTAAATCTATGGGTTAACCATTTAAATTCATAGAACCGTAAACGAATGGAGGAGAAAGGCAGACGACAACGCAATTTAGGGCGCTATACTAGAAGGACGAGTTGATGAGATTTCACCCCATATCGATGTCCATAAAAATAACAATAATTTGAAAGACCTATTTTAAATATACTTTGTTTAAAAATATGTTGAAATGAAATATATCAATATTTCAATAACCTACGTATATGCCCGTGTAGTACCTACTAAGGAAAAAAACCTGCAGATCTATAATATTGGTCTTTGGGAAAGAAGGTACTTACTTACTACTTTTATCTCGCAATATGAGAAAAAGTTTATATATTTCAAATCACCTTACTCTTTAATACACATAGTTTCATTGTAAAATGGTGTTGAGGTAAAAAGTATTACAAATTGATTTTCCATCAAAATAAGGGACAAAAGACAAAGTAAGGACCGTTTTGTGTAAAATTGTAAAACTAAGAAAGTTTTGTTTGAAACATTTTTTTAAGCTTTTCAAATTTTATAAAAAAACCTGCATGGTTTTATGATAAAATATAGCCTAAATTACTCCTGACATTGCTCTCTATCCGTTCGTTAAAATATCAAAATCTGTTCAACCATTAAGGAGATTAGCCCGGACAGATAGACAGACAGACATACAGACAACAATTTAAAAAAAGATTCTTCATGATTGAATGGCCTGCAAACAACCCCCTTAGCTTAATAGAAGCGAGCCATTACGGTATTACAGACATACACTTTAATTTGTTTATATGTGTGGGTAAAAATAACCACAGTCCTCCACATCACACTCGTAATCCATATTTTTAAAGACTTATAGTCATAAGGTCATAAGTTCATAAAGTTGTTTAAGTTAAAATATATTTTATTTTTAATCAATCCAGAAATTTATTTGCTTACAACGTAACTTACAATGAAGTAATTAATTGAATGTTATGTAAGGCATTTTTGTTTAAAATCAAACAAATCAAACAATTTTATTTATGTTTGCTAATTTATAAATCATGTTGCTCTAAATAGTGCGAATACAAGTGAAGATAGGCACATATTTATTTTTACTGTTACTGTCCCCAATGTGATTTTTGGTTACTTACTAGTTTTACTAATTTTGACTCTTCTTATTTTGTCTCGCGGGGCAATAACCCATAATGAGCGCATTTGTAACACGTGAGTATGAAAAGTCGTTTCTACGATCTAAATCAGAAATAGAACTGTATGTTAGTTAAACTCGTCCCAACGAAGGCAAACATTTTAGATTTTATTTTGTCAAAATCAGTGTGATAATTGCGCATTGTGGCCGGCTCCACCGAGGAAGCATCGGGTGATCGCACAGAATACTTGCATGAAATAAAAGTATAATGCTAGTGCATTTCTAATGGTGAGTTACGTATAGAGAGAACCGGAGACCTTACGGGTAACAAGTGTTAGATAACTAAAATTAAAACTTTTCAAAACCCTCGTAACAAAAAGAGCTGATAATCTTCAAACGGCTGAAAATATTTTCCATAGCTAAGAACACTCGATTAAGGCATTTTTCAAACAAAGAAAAACTTAATCAAATTCGGTTCATCCGTTCAGGAGCTGTGATGCCACTGACAGACACACATATACACAGATACTCATAATATACATAGATACACCCCAAGTAGCACACAAGTGGTATAACGAAGAGCTACAACAGCCGCTTAATAGGTATATGTAATGGCTTTACCTTCCTAAGTAAGTGCTACAGTAGCGATAGAGAACTTCGAAATCGCTTCTATGCCACTGAAAAGGGCCCACATTATACGGGCTTCAGTGCTACAGTAGCGGTACGATAGCGGAATGGTGAGTTTGTAGAGCGATACAAAGGTGTGTGAAATGTGAATTTTGGAGCTAAATACATATAAGATGTTCTTGTACCATCTTTATAGAATTTGCACATGATTGCGATGCGACTCTAACTCGTGACTAAAGCTTAAAGCATACCAAAGATAAGAATTATAATTACAGAACATAAATGACAAACATTATTTCAAATTGATCGTGGTGTTATGATGGTAAATATATTAAAAAGTTGATTAGTGTAAAGTAAGATTATAATGATTTAATTTCGCTTGCTTACGTAGAATATTAGTGCGAGCATCAGTTTTCTGTCAAAATATGCATTAATTAAGCTAAATATTTCACGCGCTCGCGAAACCTGTGAAATTTGCTGCAATTTATATGTAAAATTTTAAGGTTGTGATTTTGCAGTTTCTTTCCGATTGAGTTATTGGAACTTGTAGTGAATTTATTAGGGCATGAAATGTAAAAGGGTTTATTTATTACTAAAGTATGCTCTTTAACATAAGAAAACTGATTGTTTATTGACATACATAAGTCAACAAATACTGCCATTTAATGGCGACTTTTTACAAAAGCCATAGACATCTACTATATCCTTTATAACGGTTTTAGAAGTAGTACGGCGCCAGTGATAATTATTTTAGAAATTTTAAAATAAATCACCGAAAAATGGAGTATTTTTACTAATTTTGGGATACAAAAGCACTAAAGAACCTTTTTACTATTGAAAAAATTTAGGGTCCGTTTGTAAATTAAACTACTTTTGTTAACACACGCAAGACAAAATAATTAGTAATTCGTGAAATTATTAAAACTCTTGTACAGACTTACTAACAGACCAACGTAATACAGGATAGATTAAAATCACTTATAGCCGTATAAATTATCTTTAGCATGCCTAATGCATAGTGGCTATATTTAGGTACATGTTATATTTAACAAATATACTCGTATCGCTGTTAGTGCTTCTGTGAAGCGATAATTCTACAATACGGTAAAAGTGCTATTAAGATTCACATATATCTATTTTAAAGTTGTAGACTACATAGTACTACTTAGTATTATTTTGACTGCTATATGCAATATTTTATTTATAACTTAATTGAAGCGCTTTTATCTTCTTTATTCCTCTATTAGGTCTAATAATGTTAATAAGTAGATATATTTATAATTCGACTTTATTCCAACGCCTGTACAAAAACTCTACAAACCCCTTTTTTATCTCCAAAGCCATTATCGTCACTATTAAACGGTTACTTTATCACTCTGCTTTCAAAGATTTATAAGAATCTGTTATATACAGGTTAAGAAAGATTGACACTTCCTTCAACAGCTGTTATACAGCAAGAGAGCGATACAGTGTCTGCTTATATAGCTTGTGTGCTACTTGGGACAGATACACACTACACACATATAACACCTCTCTGTTTACGTTACGTTATACAACATAGAACACAGTACAGATAGAAGTAAGTACATACAAGATATCACCATGGTAAATGAAGTATGTAAACTAATGAAACTAATATTTCAATTATTAAATTCTATAAAATTGTGGAATTTCGAGGCGTGGGCATCAAGGCAGCGCAGAATAGGAGACGGGTGTCCAGTAATTTTATACTTTTACTCCATTAATAACTTAAAATTGAATTGAAAGATTTCTCGCTGCCTAAGTAACTTAGGGGCTCGTCCATTACGTGCTTACCACATTTAAAATGTGCACAAGTGGTGAAAATTTTTGCATTCTCTTCAGGTCCTAAAATAGCACGGGAATATTCTTTGTAGATATGATAATAAGCTGATTGTAGTAGTG